AACACCTCCGCGTAGGCCTCGTTGTCGGAACGAAAATACTCCAACGTGCGACATCTCACCACTTTATAGTCTCCAGGTGCACAAGGATCAAACCCCATACCGAAACCCCACAAGGCAATGCTGGCTGGGCAAGGCACGCATGGCTCCGACACAAAAGAAGGAAGGGTTACAAACACGTCTGTCCTAGGGTCCCACATAAGCAGACGATCCGAAGGTACGTTACATGACCACAGCATCCATGTGTTGCAACTCGCTTCGACGTGATATTTGGCATTCCCACAATCCACATCGTAGTTTTCAGCTTTGAGTCGAGACAAATCTAAAAGATATTTATCATCACCTTGTAGAACTTCGAACAAGTTGTTTGCCGTTGAGATCACATAGAAAACGCGGGTCCAGTCGAATAAACACTGCGCCATAAGCATCATACTGTCGTTAGGTTTCAAACTGCGAGTAAGTGCCCGAATAGTAGCAGGAACACCATCGACACTAGTGGTTGTGTCGCCAGACCAGAGATTTCTTGAGGAGGATTTGAAGCTGGATTCGGCGTTGGCAACATAAGGGAAGACCTCCAACATACCCGGAGACTTGTCACGGATACCGAGATTCACCTTCACCAATCTGCGCGATTCACAGTCGTAAACCAGTAGGTCACCATAGGAGTCAGAAAGAAAGTGTTTACAGTTCTTGTAGAGGCCCAAAACTTTAACAACATAAGCATTATCTGAAGCCCGGATTTCCCCTGTGAACACCAGAGACCACGTGGCGGTTTCTTTCCACACCCAAATCTCAAAAACAAAAGGTGCAACAGGATCAATGGTCGTCAGAAATTCACGATCCTCGATATAGAAAAGAACAGCAGCAAGCGACCCATCATACTCACCAGGATAAACAGTGCCGTCGTAGAGGAGGTCGAGATTATTGCTCTCGGGCTTGCGTATCAGAGGCCCAAACTTCTCCTCAGCAAAGTCGAACGAAACAAAGCTACCCTCATCAGTTGCCCAATAATAAAAGCCATTGATGTAAAGAGAAGGTTGTAGAAAGGGTCCAACTTGAAAGGGGTTGTGAGGACAGAAAATTTGCTTCCACGAATCACTTGCGGCGGACAACGACAACAGCTCAATGTAGAGCTTCCCAATCTCATTCTCACTTAATGCATCCCTCATACGACATCTCAACACCTTATAGGTGTCCCCTGCAGGATCGTACCCGAGCCCATAAGCCCAAGGGCTCGACAAACGTTCAGAACAAAAAGAAAAAAAGGGAAGCTTTGCATTCTCGCCGGTGGTGGGGTTCCACAGAGAGTCAAATGGAATATCAGGAATATTTGAACTATACAGCATCCATGAGTTGCAAGTAGCATAAGCATCATAACGGGGGGGCCTCATACAGGGATCAAAGTTATCTTCTTTGATCAGAGACAAGCTTGAAAGATTACCATCATCAAGCACTTTGAAGGAGTTGTTTTGGGTTGAGATTACTGAACAATCCAGGGTTGCGCCGTGTAAATACCGCACCAGAAGCATCACATCGTCGTTGTTGCTATGTGGCTGACCTTTATCGGGAATTAGATGTGTGGTGGTGTTTGAGACAATTCCGATATCTGCCATTGCCAACAATCCTCAACTACTTTGGACTCCTACATTAAATCAATCAACCAATCAATCAATCCCTGGTTTGCAAAATCTTTATTAATTTTAGCCGCAGGTTGTTATAAAGGAAAGACATTCAAATAGCCAAAGATTTCACCGTGAATACCTGAATTATTAGAGAGCTGAGAGACGTCAGGACTGAAGCGGGGCGAGGGCGAGGGCGAGGCAATTAGATTTCGCTCAATTTGGATTTTTGGGTAGGGTTTCGAAGTTCTTGTCGAGGATGAGTTGTACCTTATATCGAATTTGTGATAGATGATCGAAATGTAACGTCACTGGATTTTCGGGCAAGGTGGCAGAGTTGAGAGGCATACACATCCATGAGGATTGGTAAAACTTGTTAATTTTGACTGAAAGATAGTATTAATTTTGTGTTTTTATGATGTGTTTATGTTGTGTCGCGTTTTAAAGTTCTATTGCATTAATATTCATTGTTAGAACCAACTAAACTTTTCAATGAATAATAAGATGGTTTTACTGACTCAGATAACTTTTTTCTTTTATACATTTACACTCACAATCCGACATGACTTTATTTAACTTAACTCGTTTTAATATTATCAATACAATTAAATATTATTAATCAATCGTTTTTACACATCATATTAACTTTAATTCGCTCTTCATCTACTTACATATTTTTAATTACTCATCACTTCATCTTTTCTTTTAACATCACATAACTTTAATCATTACATTTTAAATATAAGCAAATTTCACGTGTGATGCACGTGATACATGATCTTTAAGCCCTTCTCGTTTAGCGATCAGGATGATCGAATTATCGGGCGACAAATGATTTTGTTTATGAGAAATGGGTCGAGCTTTCTTGAGTTGAATTATGCAAGCAAAGCAAAGGATTTCCAAGATAAAGCGATACGATATCGAACCGAGATAAAGCGATATCGAACGCTCATTAGAC